GGTGTTGCTCTTTCTTCTAAGTGTAGGGGCTCGAACTGAGGTTCCCTTTTCTAGAACCCTTGACCCTCGAGAGCCATGACCCACTCTGCCAGCCCTTCACCATCCATCACTTCCAAATTTATCAAACAGGCTTCTAGCGGATCCCTGACATTAAGGATCTCATCCTCCTCTTGCAGTATCACATCCACGGCCTCCACTAGCGAGAAATTTGCAAATTCGCTGGGTCTCCTTGTGGATTGTTGAACGTTGAATATTATTTCTTCATTGTTCAACCTCATTTTCAACTCTCCAGTCTCACAATCAATCAATGTTCTCCTAGTGGCTAAGAATGGCCTTCCCGGAATGATTGGTATCTCTTCATCCACTTGACAGTCAAGAATAACGAAGTCTACAGGGAATACAAACCTCCCCACTTGAACAAGTACATCATCAAGAATTCATATCGGTCTTTTGACTGTGCGATCAGCCTGTTGCAACAACATTGAGGTCGGTCTAGCTCTGCCAATGCCCAGTTTTGTATAGATTGCCAAGGGCATCAAGTTTATACTGGCCCCTAAGTCACACAATGCTTTAGCAAAAGCATAACTCCCTATGGTGCATGGGATAGTGAAACTACCTAGATCAGACACTTTTTGAGCCATAGGTCTTGTCATTACCGCATTGCAGGTCTGCGTCAGAGTTATAGTGGATAGGTCCTGAAAGTCAAATTTTCGTGACATCAGTTCCTTCATCATTTTTGCATACCATGACATTTCCCTCAAAATATCCATTAGTGGAATATTCAATTGAATTTGTCGAAGCATTTTCATGAATTTCTTGTATTGATCATCTTTCTTTTGCTTTGCCAATCTCTGAGGAAATGGTGCAGGAGTCAACCTCTGCCCACTGCTTGGTGTCTTTTCTTTGTTGCAAGCTTTTTCTACCACCTGTTCTGAGAGTTGTTCACCTTCCTTCTCCTTACCCTTGTCAACCCGTGTTTGTTCAATTGCAACCTCGGTGAGCTATGCTGACTCATCTTTCTCTAATGTAACTGGAGTAGTTGGCGTAGTCTCTCTCCTAGATTATGCAACTTCTTGCTCTCTGTCTAAATCTCTTCCATTTCTGAGACTCACTGCCATTAGCTGATTTGGGTTCTGTTCCTTTAGGTTAATATTTGTATCTGTAGGCAATGTTACTTATGGGCGATTGTTCTAGGCCATAGACAATTGTCCCGGTTGAGTTTCAATGCCTTTGATTGCCGAATCATGTGCTGCTAACTTTTCTTGCATCTTACCATTTATCCCAATGAGTTGTTGCAGCATGCCCCTGATTTCTGTTATGTTGTTGTCCTGCTGTTGATGAGGTGGTTGGTAGGCCAACTGTTGTTGGTGCTGCTGATTATAGCCATGTTGCCTTTGATAAGGCACGACTTGGCCTTGTAGTCGTGCGCTTCCTGGATTAGGGTTGTGTTGTGGCTGGTTTGGTCTGTACTGCTGGTTTGGTGTTGGTCCCCATTGTTGCCCACCTTACCTCTAACCTCTGTAATTGTTGACATAATTCATGTCTTCTATGAAGCCCTGGTTATCATTCTCTCCACTCCACGAGCACACATATGACTGGTTTATGCATGGAGTGCACAAGCCTCCATTTGTTGTATCAACAATGTGCACTTGCTTTGTACCCATCTCATCAATTTTCTTTGTCAGTAAGCTCATCTAGGTCATGAGAGTGGCTATGTTCTCTGCATTGGAATTGTTTGGGTCAAGAACAACAGAATGCACTATTGGTGTAAGTGTCGTACCTCTAGTCATCCAGCCTGAATTTTGAGCCATCTTATCGAGAAGAATCTTGCACTCTGTGAATGTTTTGCTAAAAAATGCACCCCTAGCTGAAGCATCTACATTGGCCTTCAAACTGTCTGCCAAACCCATGTAGAATCTTTGTCTCAGCATCTGATCTGAAATGCCATGGTGTGGACACTTCACTAGCATACCCTTAAACCTCTCCCGGGTTTCTTGTAAGGTCTCAGTCGGTTTCTGCCTGAACTGCAATATCTCATCAATTTGCCTTGCAGTCTTGTTGGGAGGATAAAACTTGCTTAAGAACTGCTTGACTAATTCTTCCCAAGTAGCAATGGAGTTTATTGGGAGCGAATTCAACCAAGTTTGAGCCTCTCCAGTCACTGAGAATGGGAAAATTAATAGCTTAATTGCTTCAGGAGTCACATTCGGTTGTCTTTGAGTCACACAAATTGATAGAAAGTTCTTCAGATGTTGTTGTGGGTCCTCGATGTATGACCCGAAGAACATTCCCTTATTCTGCAACAGGTGCAACATGTTGTTGGTAATCTAGAATGTCTCCGCTTGTATCTGAGGAACAACAATGGCGATGGTCAGGTTATCAACAGTTGGTTGTGCCTAATCATAAAGAGCAGCTTCCGGCACAAAAGGTGCCACCACTCCATTGTTTGGGTCAACACGATTATTCCGATGGTTTCCGTTGACGTCGTCCACGTTGTCCATTTCACTTTCGAGTTGGTCTTTTTGTTTTAACTGTTTGTTCTTCTTGTTGGCCCGATTCAATGCCCTAAATGCTTTCTCGGGGTTTGAGAGTCCTTCAAAAGGTGCACCAGTCCTCAAAAAGCTTCTAGGCATACACATGAGTCACAAAAGAGTTCAAACGTGAGAATTTCAATGGAAAAATTTTAACACCGTAGGAAATTGATCTAAACTAAGAATCCTAGAAATTCTTCTAAGTTGTAATAAATAACACCGTTAGTACCCCAGTAACGACGCCAAAATTTGATCACACCCAACTATGCCTTGTAAAAAGGACTAAGCGGTCACTGTAAATATAATCTGGTTCAAGTCCGGAGTCGAATCCCACAGAGAACTAACCTATTTACTACAACTTTTAACAATGTTAATGATAAGCTTAGACAATTTTCGGATGCAAGATTTTTAATAGAGCATAAGTGAAATTTATTTATCTAATGAAAAATGACAACAAAATTAGCAATAATCGAGAATAAGGTTGAATAAAAGGTAAAAGGATCTAGGGCTATTGATTTTCCCAATTGCCGGACTAATTCCTGATACATTAGCTATAATCTCGCCGTAATACTCTGTGAGGATTATGAGTTCCGGTCTACCGTAATTATCTCTCGATCAATTACGATAATTTACTAGAAGCATTCTCTCGAACTACTCTAGTTAACAATTTATGCAACTCAAAATTATCCTACCAAAACTTTGTTATCTCTAACTCCGCTTTTAAATTCAAGTAATTAATCTCTTAACTTACTTGAAAGTGGTGTTGTTCAACAACAATCTAACCAAGTGTTCTTTCTCAAGCAACACAAGGTAACAAGATACGATTAATCAAGGGCCCTTTCAATTAATCACAATACATCACATAGTTGAACAATCATAGAATAAGAACGGCTCAATTATATCTAAACATAGTCAAAACTTCATCCAACAATTGGTTCCATCAACCCTAGATGATGGGTTTAGCTACTCATACTAATGGATAAAAATTCACTATAACAATTCATAGTCAACAATGGAAGTAAGAAGAAGAAGAAGATGAAAACTCTTAGGAAATTCTCCGTCTTCTCTCCCTTGTTCTTGCCTCCAAAATCTCCTAAAAACAGCTCTCCTTCTCTTCTGGGCGAATTAGGCTTCATATAGGTTTAGGTTAGTCGCCTTAAAAATTACATAATTGCCCCTGAGTTGTTNGATGAAAACTCTTAGGAAATTCTCCGTCTTCTCTCCCTTGTTCTTGCCTCCAAAATCTCCTAAAAACAGCTCTCCTTCTCTTCTGGGCGAATTAGGCTTCATATAGGTTTAGGTTAGTCGCCTTAAAAATTACATAATTGCCCCTGAATTGATGGCCTCCGTTCGCGGCCACGGATTTGACCGCGGATCCGGCCGCGGATTTCAGCCAGTGTTCTGCCTCCAGTGCGCGGTCCAATTCGCGGTCAACTCCGCGGTTGCGCACCTAGAGGGGACCTCCCCGCTTGCTTTTCTCGCTCCTTTTCGATCGGGCTAACCTTCGATTGGCCTTCTACACTCCATATTGACTCCAAAATACTTTTTAGCTTTCTCCTAGCTCGGAGTGGCTCCTGCAAAGCATAAAATTCTTAATTAGAGCCTTTTGTTATCTTTTAGCATTCAAATATCAATAAAGTGCGGCTAAATTAGAGTATAAATAGTGTCTAAATTGTATAAATATAGCCTACTATCGTATGCCAAGTCCTAGTCAAACTAGGAGACAAAACAAGTCTTCAAAACTCGGAATGTGCACGTCCAGACCTGGCCTCGCGAGGCATAACGCTTGGTGGACCTCGCCCCAGGCCTGGCGTCACCAAGTATACAGCCTGCTTGAGCTTGCCTCTGCCTCGCCTCGCCAGCTCCTACGCGAGCTAAAGGCTTGGCGTCGCCAGGTATAAAGCCTGCTATAGGCCTGGCTTCGCTAGCTTTCTCCTTTTCACTGTTCTTGAGCACGCTTTCAACGTTTAATTATCCCTTTTGCTCTACTTTCATCTCCAATTCACCTACATATAAAATAGACTCCATTACGCGCAAATAAAGTGTAATTTATCATTAAAGCATATAAAATGCAAGGCAAATAATTTACGAAACTATGGAATTATAGCCACACATCAATACCCCACCAAAAAAAAAAGAAATAGTTCATCGAATCAGAGAGATTGTATTACAGCTACACATTAGAGGACAACAAAATCACCACTGGAGCATGTTGTTAAGTAGTTTATTGACTTATCATATTTTATGGAAAGTCCATCAATTTATTCCTTTTTTCTTTTGTAATATTTTATTGACTTATCATAAAAATAAAGATTCTTTAATTTTTTACAATGAAAAACTTGGAAGATTACAATTTGGGAAGGTTGTTAATAAATTTGCAGATAATGGTAAAACAGTAGATATTCCAAATCCAATGAATAGTGAGTCAAATGGTACAAGAAGTTCCCTATAAAAGGGTCTAAATTCTCACTCAATTGGCACAACAACACTAAGAGCCTTTCTTTTATAATCATTTTGCATATCTACTTGATATATTCATTTTTAGAAAATGTCAGGAGGAAAGGGAGTTACAATTATTGCAGTAGCTGTGATGCTTTGCATCCTTCTTCAAACCAGCATTTCAAGTGCAGCTACTTTTCCTGCTGGTGGCGCTAATGGTTGGGGTTTCAATATGAATGGTTGGCCTAATGGCCAGACTTTCAAGGTTGGCGATGTCATTGGTAAGTATTCATAAACAAATTTTTATATTCAAATAATAATGAAAATGTGCATCTATTTTACAAAAATTAACGTTTCTGTTTTTCGTTTTTCTTTCCTAAAATACAGAATTTATATACATGCCTGGGATGCACAACGTTGTGAAAGTGAGCGAGGCAGGATTTGACTCTTGCGATGGTACTGGAGGACAAGTTTTTAGTTCAGGAGACGACAAAGTAACACTTGTACGAGGAACACAGTACTTCATTTGTACTATCGGGCCACATTGTTCTAATGGCGTTAAGGCTGCTGTTACTGCCAATTAATTTATTTCAAATTAAATCTAGTAGTATTGTTTCATTCCAATTGTTGTACTTCGGAGTACCAATGATATATATAGAATGTTTTATTTCTTGATCCATATAGATGTTTTTGGCTTGTGGAGTACTTGAATGAAAAAAAAAACTAGCATAAGTAAGTTGTCATTTCATTTTTTCTTTTGTTACAATTCACATTCGATGTTCGAACACTTACCACTGAACAAAAACTTTTGTACTGATTTAGAACAGTTCCAGAAAGTAAATTGATGTACAATCAAAGTACCGACGCCACTATCACATGAAAATTAAAGCAAATAAAACATACAATAAGCAGTGGTAGCATTCCGACGCTTCGAACTTTTTGTCTTTTAATTTTGTTATGAAAAAATTGAGTAAAAATAATTTTATTAATAAACAAGTGAATTGTAGAAAAACAAAACAAGTGAATACTATCAAGGGTCGGGCTAGCCCAGCCCACATGGGTTTTAGCAATTGACGGGCTGGGCTAGCCCACCATTTTGATGGGTCTTATAATGGTCAGTCCACCCTAGCCCTATGTGGGTTGCGGGCTCCCACGGGCTGGTCCATCATTTTTTTTTAAATATAATTTTATATTTTTTATTTAAGTTCTAACCTAAAAAAGAAAAATATTTAAAAGTTAAAAAAATCTTATTGGAAAAATTTCACAAAACTTAATAACTTTTTATATTGTTCCAATATATCATAATAAATACTAAAAAAGTAAAAGACAAGACTTTATTTCATTCACTAAAAGTCAAAATTGAAAACAAATTATTCAAGAGAATGTCCATTACGCTTATGGGATATCCAACATATCATCTTCATCAAACACATTTGAATCCGCTTGTGAGAAGGTTGTCTTAATATCTTCACTTTCATTTACATCTACAATACGTATACAATATTAATTAATTATATATTAAGAATAATTAAATTTTTAAAACTAATTAACGTTTTAAGACTTTGATCTTTTAATATGATGAGCTTAATAAACTTTAAGCTTTTCATTTACATCAAACTTTAAGCTTGATATATTTTAAATTATTAGGCCCACGGGCCGGGCCAGCCCAGCCTCAGTCAAGCCTCACGGGCCATGGGCTTACTCGTGTCGGGCTTAAAAGCCTCGTTTTTAAATGGGCTCCAAAAATTCTAGCCCAACCCTGCTAAATTACGGACTGAGCTGGGCTGGCCCAACGAGCCAAGCCCATATTGACGGTTCTACTATCAAGCCGCCACTGAGTAAATACTTTTTCGACGCGTTTAGCGAGTGTGAATTAGTCAGGCCAGTGGGCATAAGACACCAGATGATTATAAAAAAGGAATACTTTTCCAATGAGTTTGAGAGTTGGGGGTGGATTTAGCATTTTTGTATATTTTGATGTCCGGAACTCTCATTTCGAGAAAAAATTTACATTCCTCTCGTATAATTTGAGTTTAAGAATAACAAATTAAAATTTAAGTACATAATAATTAATTATTATTAAATGATAAATAATTAGTTGAAAAATAGTATTATGCATTTATTGGTTTAATATGAATACCTGCTAAGTTTTTAATTTTATTTTGGCATTATTAATCCATTTTATACGGGTTTGTACAAAATACTCCTTTCGTCCTAATTCATGTGATGTGATTCAAATTAGAGTCAAACTTTTTTATTTTGGCTTTGAATTCGAATATAAAATTTTAAATTTTTTTGAAATAAAATTCATTTGACTCTTAAAATTCAAGCTGAATTGCATAAATTGGGATGGGGGAGTATAAACATTTGCATGCTTTATTGGGGTTTAGTAAGCTTAGTTTGAGATGCATATGAATCTTTTGTCACTATTTATGAAAGTAACTGAGCAAAACCTTTAACAAAATTTTTGTTAGAAAAGGAGTTTCTAACAAAGACCAACAAACACAAAATAATAATAATAATAATAATAATAATAATAATAATAATAATAATAATAATAATAATAATAATAATAATAATAATAATAATAATAATAATTTAATATGAAAGATGTGCTCAAGGATAAAAAGTTTATTATATGAAAGATATTAAGAATTTTATTAGTAATTTTTTAATGTACCAAAGAGTTAAATTATAGGACAGAACAAACTTAAATATGCCATTATCTCTTCGAAATATAGAGGAAAAATTGAAATTTAGTTCTATTTTCCGCAGAGGGTTTTGAAGAAAAAAGTTTAATGATTGAACCTGATCTATGAATTTGAGTGGGATTTTGTGACAGATTCTCAACCCAAAATGACAAAAATATTTAATTGCTCAGTCATCTACAGCACATGTTGATCACTTATCTTCATCTTTTGAAATATCTGACTTTAAGTTAATAGAGAAATGTCGCTTACCTCGTCTTCTTGCTTATAATCAAACTTTAATTTATTACGTTAAGATTAGAGCGAAAATTATTTTTCTCCTCCAACTTTGCTTTTGAAAATCAAACATCTCTGATCTCTCCCAACTATGAACGATATGCATTAAGGAATTTAGTTATAACTAGATGGGTAATTGAGTTTCCTAAAGAGTAGCCAATACTTTTCCTTAATCAAATGAACATATTTAGTTACTAAAAATCTTAGGTTCATAACCAACGTGAGCCAAGTAAATAAAGAGGGTTATACTCTTGCAAAATTAAGTCGATAATTTTTTTAAAGGAAAAGGTTATAATTAGATGACCCAACCCACTTGATAATTCTTGGGTGGCGATTAAAAATCAAATTTCAAATCCTTTTGAGCTATCAAATCGTCGCAGAACATCTCATTTGTGTTCATAACCTTAATAATACGAAACTCTAGATTATAATTCCCTTAAAGGGTAAAAAGCTTCACTATTTAATTAAATTCTTTATCACCTCAATAGTTAAGGACTTGCATTCACCTTTAAAAAGAATTAAGTAACTTTTGCTTTTTTGGAAACGCTATTATTTTTTTTCCCTTTTCTTTCTGTAATATTTCCTTCAGTAATCTTAGCCATTTTTACTTCTTTCGAAATTTAATCAACTTTTTCCCTTTTATTTCTTGAATAGTTCCATTTACATTAAAATGAAGAGCTTTTTTATTATTTTTTTAACCGTGAAAGCTTCATCGGATTATAAATTTGGAAGAGTATCAAATACTTTATACAAAAAAACCCTATATGATGGTGCAAATTCTCATTCACAAGTGGTACTGCTAATTGATATTAAATATTGCCTATTACAAAACCAATTCATTCTAATCCCTTCAATACACCTAGTTAAAAAGCATTCTGAACAGCAACAAAATGAATGGATTAAACAGAGTTATTATTTTAGTCACGATCTGGTCCATCCTACTACAAACCAGCATTTCAAATGCAGACACTTTTTCAGTTGGTGGCACCAAAGGTTGGGGCTTTAACATGAATGGATGGCCTAATGGCAAGATTTGTTGCGGAAGCCAAATGTATATAGTGTGAATGAGTCATAATTACTATACCAAAAATTATGACAACCACTAAATAATAAACAAGACAATAAGACAACAATAAAAGAATACCAGAATTTACGAGGTTCGGCCAATTTTGCCTACTTCCTCGGACACAATCAATATTTTATTCCACTCCAAAATTACAAGTGAAATAATACTAAAGAGAGAAGATACAAATACTTTAAGAAGATAAAAAGGCAAATGAGAGGTGTACTTAAATCCTAAACATTAGGCCTCCTTTTATAGGGTGAAATTCTCATTCAAAATTG